CTGCCAGCAACACTGCTGCCCTGTGCTCTGCAGGCAAGAAGAGTTTAGTTGCCCTCAAACCATCCAACACAGGAGTTTTGCCTATTCCTATGGTTCCCCCCTGTGTAACTTTTAGTAGAGGGTTTTTTTCTCCCTGGGGTGAAAAGAGATGATAGGAGAGGAGCCCTCTCACCTGGGAATTGGGGACATCCCAGATGTGGAAGAGAATCTCTCGACCATCCACAATCAGGCTGTGGCTGTAGATGAATTCTGCCCAAAAACAAGAACAAAAACGGTCATCTTAACAGACCCAAGAGATAGCTCCCTCAACTCAGGTCTTCTCCTCTTGGGGACGAGCCTGTCACATCCACCCTGGGAGACCGTGCTCTACAAGGCAAGGCCCAAGGGCTCTTTCCACACAGCAACAATCACACAGACCATGGTGGTCTCCAGGGCTGTCACCACCCCAGCCTACCTCCACCCCAGCGCACAGTCCAGGCACACCAGTGCCACCAGCTGCCACCCAGAACCTTTTGCACCTCAGAGAAGCAGTTCTGGAGTGAAGAGATGGGTCACTAAGCAAATACAACCATCAAGCTCCCCAGAAGCAGGTGAAAGCTCTGGAGAAAGGCAGGAGAGGATGGGAAGCAATGAAATCCCATGGGCAGAAGCAGTCTCACCTCCTGAGCCCAGCCCCTAATGGGACCAGCCTAGCCCTGGCCTGGCACTCACCCATGTCTCCGTACTCCCCGATAAAGCGTCGGGTGAGGAAACGCACAGTCAGAGCTGCAGAGGGGAGAATGAGAATCATCAGAATAATCCTAAACCTGAAGGATTTCCCCTTTTAAATCTGAGCAGAGACAGGCACCATCCCCCTGTAAGCTCCCACTCTCCAGAACGACCTCCAGTTTCCCAGCCCTCGGTGGGTCTGCAAGCAGAGCGGAGGCACAGCATGAACCAGAGCATCAGCAAACCACAGCTCAGCAGAAAATACCTTCCCCCACCGCTCGCCTGCTGCCTGCAAGGTTGTGCTCAGCTTCCCCATCTCGAATCACCACCACACCTCAAAGCTCAGCCCCATCTCACCAGCTTGCTCCACAGATTTGGTCTCTGCAGTTCGTTCTCCAAATGCTGCTGCAGTTTTCAGCCTTTTTTGCAGGACAGAAACAAGTCTGTGCCTGGGAACCCCCTGCTCCCAGCTCACAGTCAGTTCTCACCTGATTTCCCCACGTTGTCCGCTCCCATAACAAGGACATTTGTTTCCATCTTCAGGGCGGTGGGGCCGGGCACCTCCATGAGGGCAGGGTGGTCGGGGGTGAAGCTGGCACTCCGGCGCAGCGGGAGCCGGAGCCCCATACCGAGCACGGCCGTGCCTCACCGGCGCTTCCAGCAGTGACTGCAACTCGTCTCTGTGTGGCCGAGGAGCCAGCACTTCCCACGGCACCCAGGGGACCCATGAAGGCCATACCCCTCCCCACAGCCGCAGGGGCGGTGCAGCGGGAGCTGCAGGCAGCCAGATGAAAAACTTGGTTATTGCTCAGATCATCCCAAATGTACGTCAGTGCTCGAAGCTGGCCCTGCCATCTCCCAGCGAGGCAGGGAAGCACCGTCTGGCTGCACCAGCTGCTCCGCAAACTGCATTCCAGGAGGATGCCCATGCCTGCATCTCAAGCACATTGCCCCTTGGCAGGGCCACGTAGCCTGTTGTCCCTTCCCCATGGTGATCATGGAGCTGCCTGCGAGGAGCAGTGGAGGATCTCACGAGTGATGGAGCACCACTTCACAAGTGGTTGAGTGTTTCACAAGCAATGCAGTGTCTCACAAGTGATGCAGCGTTGTCTCATGAGTGATGGAGCATGTCACAAGTGATGAAACGTTGTCTCACGAGTGGTGGAGCGTCTCACGAGCAATGCAGCATCTCACAAGCGATGGAGTGCTGTCTCACGAGTGCTGGAGTGTCACGAGTGACAAAACGTCTCACCAGTGCTGGAGCACCTCGAGATGCAGTGTCTTGTGAACGGTGGAGCACCTCACGAGTGGAGCGTTGCTTCACAAGTGCTAGAGCATCTCACAAGCGACGGTGTGTCACGGGTGATGAAAT